ACGTTCATGAAGCCGGCTCATCCTCCCGTAGGAGATAGCCGAAGTAAAGTAAAGTAAGTAAAGTATTCCTGTCTTCTCTCCCCCTCTCCCTCTCTCCCATGCACAGTCTGATGCACGTCGATGGCACAGTGGTTAGGACTCTCGCCGACCATGCACATGGTCCGGGGTTCGAGCCCACGCCGGCGCACACCTGATATCTATGGTCGGCCTGCAAAATTTGGGCTACCGATATCACATGCGGACAATTCCATACTTGTACCAAAAATACAGTGTGGAATCAAGCTGTAAATAAAAAATAAAAATATCATCGGTGATAATAGGCAGACAGCCTTGTTTCACTCCTGTATTCATTTCCAACGCCTTGCTGTATGTTTTCAAATAGGACGGCTAACAGTATGTAACGCCTCTCATGCTCATGCTAGTCTATAATTAAAATCGTTGTATATAATTATACTTTAAGGTGTTTAGCTATGCATTGTTCACCAGTCATGTTATTGTTCTAAATAAGTACATAGATTGAAATATTAATAATTATACTAGTAATAATAATAATAATAATCACCACATCGAAATTCATGTTTTTTATATTCAACAAAGTGTGTATACAAGCGCTATATTGTATTTATTTAACAATCTAAAAAGTGTGTGATCATTATAAATGTGAATGAATTAATGAATCATACGTATAATTGATTGATTGATTGATCGATTGTTTTACATTATCACAGCACGTCTGACTAAAAGTTTGTTTCAATCCGTTGAAATAAAAGGTTACGTATTTGTTTGCTTGTGTTTTTGCCTTTTTGCTGTCTCTTCGAAAAACTGTTATTCCCCCTACTACTCAACATGACTTACAACTTTTTAGGCAGTGATGAATGAATTGTACTTATTAATATCTGACTGTCGATCAAGGGACGGGTTTGTGTGTGTGTTTGTGAGTACTCTGAAAGACTCGAAGAGACTCGTTCTATTTCTTCTGTTAATTATTATTGTTATTATTGTGTCCTTTAATTCCTAGAAGAACATAGGGCTTCAGCTTCACGTCTCCATTGCGTTCCGTTCTCCACCAATGTTTTAGCATCTAGCTCCATGTCTGTCTACATGCTTTCATCTTCTCTTCTCATGACCTTCTCCTCGATGTCACCGTCGTACTGACACGACCAGCAGACTCGCTGCTTCCCATTCGAGTTCCACTCCGGTGTTTAGCGGTACAGGTTAGGTGTAGAGTGTCAGGTAAGAAGGGCAATGAGGTTTTGAATTTGCATCTGTTGAAATGGTTCGGGCATGGGGTATGCATGCTAAGCGATTGACTTCGAGCAAGGTTAGCTTGTTGTCGTAGGTTTGGGTTTGAAAGAGAGCAAGGGTTGGGCAAATCAAATTCTTTTTCGATAGAGAAACAAAGACCAGATTTGCAATATAAAATGATATTACCATTCTATTTCACAGGTTCTCATCAGCTAACTGCAAACCACTACCTGAAATTACAATGGTTATAAATAATAATAACATTTCATACTTCATTGTTTGAAAGGTAATAGAGAAAACACTATAAGGTGAACACATCTGGAATATAAGTATTATAATTTATAGTTTAAGTTGCCATCAATTTATATACTGTCAAACTATGAAAAAAGAAAAAAGGTGGGGGTGAGAGAAGACAGAAAACAGAAAAAAAATCTAATAAACAGTGTCAACATGACAACTCAAGAAGGTCAAAGTTCATCAATTTGAAAACTTGCTTAGTGAGTTGAGCTCACTAGTGTGTATGACTAACAAGTGTAATGAAAGTGATATGGTTACCAAGGGAGTGAGAGATTGACCACACTCTCTTTCTGTATGCATAAATTTGGTATGTGACGTTTGATTGCAATTGCTTCAGCAAATCGTAGTAGATTCGCTGTCCTTTGTATGTTTAATATTTTGAAGGATTTGGAAATCTCGACAAAATGACCCGTATCCACATGGTGGGTGTCTGGTAATTGCACTTTGTAAATATCTGCTTCCTTTTTGGGCATAAGTTTCTTGGAATATGCTCTGAAAACCGGATAGAAGCCCTGCCTTCTTTCTGTCTTTCCAATTTACTTGCTGCCACAGGTACACGTAAATTTATAAATGCAGTTGGAGGTAACATCATCAGCAGGGTACTTATCCAGTTTCGATTGTCTTGTAGAGCATGCAGTACTGCATAGTGTCACCAGATTGGCTTCAGGGAAGCATCTCTTTATTGCTCCCTTCATCCTCTTTTCAATCCTTTGTGATACGGTTTCTCCTTTGTATGGGAGGCAAATGAACACTTTTCTCTTTTCAACTGTTGGATACTTCTCTTTCTCATCTCTTTTTTTTGCTGTACTTTAGGATACATCCTTTTGGATACCCGTTTTCCTTAAGGCATTTAATTACAATACTTATATTCCAGATGTGTTCACCTTATAGTGTTTTCTCTATTACCTTTCAAACAATGAAGTATGAAATGTTATTATTATTTATAACCATTGTAATTTCAGGTAGTGGTTTGCAGTTAGCTGATGAGAACCTGTGAAATAGAATGGTAATATCATTTTATACGGCAAATCTGGTCTTTCTTTCTCTATCGAAATTTATCAAGGGAACCAAATGTATCAAATTCTTTTGAATCCATCTGTAAAATAAATGATTGTTAGTTTGTGTCATGTAGGAAGGGAGGTGTGTGTCGATGGCGCAGCGGTAGAATGCTTGTCAACCAAGCATGTGGTTCGGGGTTTGTTCCCCGGCCGACGCATTCCTCTACCTCGCTAAGCTAGTGATTAAACTGGTAGAGAATGGACGTTGGGCATATGGCTAGAAACTCCATCCCGTAAAAGTAAGCACCACCACTACCTTAAATTTGAAGCCCTATGTTCCACTGGGAACGTGAAGGAATAGAATTAGTAGGGAAGGTGGTGTAGACTGACCAGCTTAAGGTCTTCGAGACTCTAGGAACTAGTGGCTTGAGACTGTTGTTGGTATGATTCTGTAGCACACAGGTATTTATTCACTCCTTGTGATCTCTTGAATACACTAACTCCCCATGTTGCCCCATGTGGTGATTCTTTGTACTTCAAATTTTTGATAATTATGGCTGTTTCAGTTTTCTTTCCCTACCTTAGCGTGCTGTTATGAAATGTGGCAAATTGAACTGATGCAATTCTGTGGAAAGTTCGACGTCGGAAATTAATCGGTTATTTTGTCTCTATGTGTGTGTGTGAATACTATATCACGTGACTTTATGAACCTAAGTACGTTTTGTATGGGATTCAAACTTTTGACCCTGTGGGTAGTTGCAGGTCGAATACCTAAATCAAATGAACTGTTGAAATGATTTTACCTGTTCTGTTTGCAAACCATAGTTGTAGGAATGAAAGACATTGAAGATTCTTTTCGCTTTGATTTTTGATGTCTAAAAGTTGAACAGTGGTGAGTAGGTTTCACTCTGAAATAATTTAGTGATCGTTTTATAATCTTTTCTGTAAACATTCATATTCACATATCATAGAAACCCTTCGCTTAAATTCTAGCCGTCTCACATCTTGTGTAAATGTATTATTATTATTTCATCCTTTAATTCCTAGAGGAACATAGGGCTTCATCTGCGCGTCTCCAGTGCCTTCGGTTTTCTGCCAATTTTTTCACCCCGCTCCAAGTCTGCCCACATGCTTTTATCTCTTCCTCACATGACCTCCTCCAAGTCACCCCACCGAGGGACGACGAACTCGCCGCTTCCCTCTCGGCGGGTTCCACTAGAGCAATGGCTTGTCTAGTGATGTCACTTGATGGTTTCCTCAGAGTATGGCCAGCCAATCCATCTCCATTTCTTCCTACCTATTTGATCACAATCGGTTCCTGGTTTGTTCGCTCATTTCCAGAGATCCTTGTTGCTGATCTTTTCTGGCTGACCATCTGATCTTGAGTAGTATGGAGCGAAGACAGCTGTTGATGAAGGTCTGTAGTTTGTTTGAGGTGCTCTTTATGACGCGCTGGCCAAGTCTCTGATCCGTATAGTAAGTAACACTGACTTCAAATTGGAGTTGAAAATCCGGATCTTATTCTCATTTTCATGCTGAGTGCTGTTGACCTCCACACAGACTTGAGAGTAATGAAAGCTTGTCTTGCTTTTCCGATTCTGGCTTTGATATCCTCGTCAGTTCCGTTAGCCTGTAGTTGAAACGATGCTTCCCAGGTAGGTAGGTAGGTAAAGGAGGTTGTTTCTTTCAGGTTCCTTTCACTTATGCTGATTGTTGTCTGTTGTTGTTGCTGTTGGTGTTGGCCAGGAACCATTACCTCTGTTTTATCTATGTTCACTTGAAGTGAAGTTCTGTCTTTGATGCTTGTTCTGCCAACTTGTTGCTTTTCACTTGCATATCTTCGAGTTTGTGAGAAATCAGACATATACATCACATCGGCGAAGTCCAGATCCTCCAAGTTCGTTTTTTGTGTGAGTCCATTTTATGCCTGTTTCCTCATTTCCCGTTGTCTGTCCAATCTACTGCAATCAGGAAGATCATTGGTGATAGTAGACAGTCAGCCTTGTCTCACTCCCGTCCTCACTTCGAAGGCTTCCGTAAGTTTCCCGTTGTGGATTACTTGGCATGCAGCATTGTCGTATAACTGTAGGATGAGATGTATAGTTGTCGAATGGACCCCGTAGTAGCGAAGTAGTTGCCAAATCACCTCTCGATCGACGGTGTCTGTCGAAGACCTTTTCAAAGTCGATGAAGTTGAGTGACACAGAGAGGTGACTGCCATTTCAAGCTTTGTTCAATCATGATCCGTAGAGTGACGATTTGATCAATACATGACTTGTTTCTCCTGAATCCGGCCTGTTCCGGCCGAAGTTTTTCATCCAGGTTAGCTTTTTTGATTCTATCCAGGATGATGCGGCTAAATGTGTTATACTGCATGTGTTTGTAATCGTTTTATTTTTCTCTTTCATTATGGTAGCTATATCGTTACTGCTATCATTATTTATTATCTTTTCAAATAAGGGGATCTGTTGTGCTGATCATTATCATTGTTGTCCAAATGGTTCTGTTTGTGATTTGGAGAATAAACAATGCATTGTTGAACAAGGCGATGCAAAGCGATCCACTGGCAATTTGATTTCAGATGCCTACATTATGCATAAATCTACTGAACAGTCATCCAGTGTTATGTATTCTCAACCATTATCACGAAAGACTGTCGGTGATGACGATGATGATACTAATGCCAAAAAAGCTACTTGGTGTGGAGCATGTGGGGATAGTTGGGCTTGCTGTGCAAATCATGCTACAAATTCATGGTATTGTTGTCCATATATGGGTGTAAGTTTAGCCAATTGTGCTTTCCTCCTCTCTTTTATTATGATGTAGGTAGAGCTGGTTTAATTGAGTAGCTTTCAGTATTGTGCTTCTAGACAACTTTTACAGTGCTTATTTTTTAAATTGTAAACTTACTATTTGTTAGATATATATTTTGTAGCTTGTGGAATTATGGTTCACTGACTTAAGCACTCGGCTTTAAGTCAGTGATCCTTGGTTCGAATTTTTCCCCACCTACTTCAGTTTTAGGAATTGGATAGTATGGTCAGCTGATGTAGTGTAGGCCTGTTCAGGGTAAAGTGACATCATATTTCTTAACATTGATGACCTCGAGGATGCACTTCGTGAAATGTGTACAAATTTTTCATTGGACTCAAGTCACTAACTAGTGTAATGTGTCTAGTGTAACAACAGAAGACAAGGGCCAGGCAACAGATCGTTTTATTATGAAAATCAACACGTATTTATACATATTTCACATACATTATTATAGCTTATGCAAGTAGACAAACGCAGGCTTCTGATTGGTTGTTTCGGGATTCCTCGACAAATAGAGTTCTCTATCTGCGAATCATATTTTGCCACGTTAACTTTGCTGTGATTGGTTGTTGAATCAGCCTTGCTCATATTTTCTCACGGCCTGCTCTCACCACACTAGTACTAACTTTGGTGCAGACTGAATGCTGTCAGTCAAGTTTACAATGTGGCCACCATGCTAGGTGGCCCGCCATCATCACGGTGCACTGTGAATTGTTGATATTAGATGATTGGAGAAAAACTGCAGGAAGCCTTAGACCTTGGTTTCGTGCAAGGTGTATGTGCAACTGCCTTGAAATAACTCATGTTCCTTCTGAGATTCGAACCTGCATCACCAGCCCGTACTGCCCGTACTGATGGAATTTAGTCTGCACCAAAGTTTTGGACTAGACACATTACGCTAGTTACTGACTAGTGTCCAATCAAAGTAACCATTGCAGTCCTACAGGAGGTCAATCGCAAGCCTGAATAGCTCAGTGGTAACGTCTCTGACTGCACCACTGGGTGACGCAGGTTCGAATCTCAGAAAGGAAATGAGTCCCCTTAAGGTGATTGCAGATACGCTTTGATGACTGACTGGTAAGTGCCAACTAGCACGAAACATTGGTTAGGCAAGGCTTCCTGCAGCCGATTGCCTACAACCATCTAGTATGTAAATTTTGTCACCATTCTTTTCTCTGTGAAAAAAGTACAAATAAAAGTGTAATTCTGGATTCTATATACAAACTATTCATACCGTCAACTAATGATGTCTTTGACTGTTTATTTGATTTGATGTGATTCGCGTCAAGACATTTCGACTATCTGGCTTCAGAGTCCTTCAGAATGCTGTGAATCGTCGTTGATTGGAGATTGTCGGGGTTATGATGGCTGAAAAAATATTCTAAATTTTTAAAATCCCTCAAGGAATTTCTACATATTTTGTTGTTTATTTTATAGTGCATTTTTGTTGTCTATCGTGGATTTTCATTACGTTTTTGTATATTCTACACTTATATGTAATTTTCCTAACTGCGATAAGTTAAACTGCTAACCTTTTGTCGCAGTATTTCACTTTGATAATTCAGTTCAAATGGTTCTATAAAAGAGAACTTACAAAGGAAAAGATTTAAAAAATTGTAGAATTATGAATTTTTAAGTTGCCTTTTACAATTGTTACGCATGCGTAGCTGTTGATCACCTTCCTCGACGGGTGATGTTAGCTGATATATGATCAGGTTGGAAAAAAGCTAGTGGTAGTCAAACCAAAACATGGCTTCACGACACACTTAGTTTAAGCCAGCCACGTAGGGAAGTGTAAACTTCCTGACTGACTGGTTGGAGTCCACGGGATCGTAAAAACCAATGAGGGCTGGAGACAATTAACGTAAATATGACTCAAAATCGTTCTCAATGGATGGCGAAGATGCATTCACTCATTGTGATTTGTCATATCCAATAAAATTCTATTGTTCTTCCGTACTACTATTCTTTCTACCTAACATTCGTGTTTACTATCTCCCTTTTGAATTTCTCCCTACTCTCTTCTTTTGCTTTGTGTGCTACTGATATGTATCCACATAATGTGTGTTTGTTTTTGACAGTCTGTTATATTTTGCTATGTATATATGGATCGATATTCCATTATAATTGGCAATATGTTTTTGTCTGTCCACTAACTAAACAAACATGTCTGACCTTGTTGTCACATGACATTGCAACCGATCATGTTAAGACTGTCTATTGATTCGTTCATTTTTGAACATTCGCTCATACACTTGTGTGACATTGATTTTTTCCTTGTTTGAAGATATACAAGTATCATCGTGAACCAGGTGGTTTTCTGACTTCCGCCTTCTTGCGTCAGGACTATCAATTACTCGACCAGTACATAACAGCTACATGGAGGGGGAGTGGCAACTCGAGCTGCTGCACATCTGTGCAAAGTTGTATGTTGAAACCAATCAGTCAAAAGTGGTGTTGTTTATCTGCTTGTGCGTTTCAGTGGTTATTGATTCATGCCTACGTTTCCTAGGGGCCATTGATCTTAAACACTTGACTAGTGAAAAGTATCTCTGCTCCAAGAAATTTAGTTTAACTAACTCACTTGGAAAACTTAAAGCTCTTGCAAAGATTTATTAGTGGGTGTAAACTACTTTTGTAGACATGTTTTCGCATTTCTCTTCTTAGCGTTACTGATCCATCCATTTCATACACTCGTCGCATAACAGAGACTGCATAATATGCCTTTGAAAAGTTTTCACTCTTACTTCATGCCAAACTTTAGAACAGTGCTCTGAAGGTTCTTTGTTGTTCAACAAGTCGAAAAATTGTATTTTTTGCTGTTGTACTGCTCGCACTAACAAGTACAAAAACTCAGCCATACCCTGCTTAGCTCGTGTTCTGTGCGATAAAGAAAGCATTAAGAGTGATACCTACAACTTATTAAATAGTCAGTAGAACAATTAGACCTCACCTTCCCAACTCATATCATTTATATAGCTACAACGTTTCTCTTTCTTTCTTTTCCTTTTCTCTCTCTCTTTTCTGTTATGTGCTGCTTTGTTTCTTTCTTCCGCTTACGTCATCAAATATGCTACCATCTACTTTTCTAACACCTTCAAACGCTGTTCAATTTTGGCTTTGCTACCGACATGCCAATATGTTGTTGTCATAATGAACTGAGATTATCCTTAATCTATGTAGAATTTTATTTATTGTTAATGTACTAAATGGATGTAATACTGTGGTGGAATGCTGAGAATTCCATTCTGTATCGCAAGTACTGTTTTGGAATGAAGAAAATTATTATTATTATTGTAACTGTTGGGTCTGCAACGCTTGACAACAATAGATATACGATTGAATAAGACAAAGATTCATTTCTTCATGTAGAGAAAGCCAGTCACACTAGGAATCACTGCTATTTATATCGAATTATTATATACTTATCAATGAATCACTATTTTTAAATATGTAAACATCAATAATAATTTAAAAAACACTGGTTTCACCCTTAATCGTTTACATTGAGGTCAAATGTCGAGTTTTTGCAAGTCAGACAGGTCAAAATGACTTAAAATAAACCGACTATAAGTTTGAATCTGTCTGTCTGTCTGTCTGTTTTCGACATAGAACTTTGCACAAATGTGCGGAAGTTCAAGTCGCCACATTCCGTGTAGCACGCGAAGCAAGAGAAGAAAGTACAAGAAAAGCATAATAGAAACAGTGAGCAGAGGTGTGAGACAAAGGAGTAATAAAGAAATACAAAACAGTTTCATTGAAGATCATAAGTCACAGGGAGTGGATGCATCTGCGCCACTGAGAACGGTTTTGAGCCATGTCACCAATTGTTTCCAACCATAGATTTTTACCGTCCCGAGGACCCCAGCCTGGAAGTCTACACCTTCCTACGTGGCTTAGACCAACTGTTGTGGATTTCATTGACTGATGCCAAGTTTTTGTTTGACCGCCGCTAGCTTTTTTCCAGCCTGACCCTATATCCGCTAACATTGCTCGTCGAGGGAGGCGATGGCTTGGCATACGTAACACATGTCCTAACCATCTCAGTCTTTGTAGCTTCACGACTTCGTCGATTGATTTCCCCTGTTTACCTAGAACTCTACGCCTAACCTCAATGTTGCTCACCTTATTATGCCACTTTACACGGGAAATAGAACGCAGGCACCTATGATCAAAGACAGCTAGTCTTTTCATGTCTTCCACTCTCAGTGGCCAGGTCTCACAACCATAAAGGAGGACGGAGCGGACTGATGAGCAGTACACCCGCCCTTTGGTCGATAGTCGAACATCTCGTCTACGCCAGAGTCGGCGTAAACTAACAAATGCGAAACGAGCCCCTTGTATTCGTGCTGAGATTTCGTCAGAGATCAGCCCGTTGGGGCTGATGGTACTTCCCAAATAAGTGAAGCGGTCAACGTGCTCTACCACTTCACTTCCTATTTTTAAACTAGGCGTCGATGTAGTCCAGTCCTGTAACATCATCTTGCATTTGGCGGGAGCGAATCGCATGCCAAACATTCGTAGATTGCTGTTCAAGGTGTTTAGAAGACTCTGCATTTCGTCAGCGTCTTCGCCTAGAAGGACTATATCGTCTGCATATTCCAAGTCAACGAGATTATTCCCAGGTAGCAAGTCAATCCCTGAGTCGCTGAAGTCACCTAGGGTTAAGTCCATTAACACATCTATGATGAAGTTGAATAGAAAAGGAGATAATGGGCATCCTTGACGGACACCACTGGTCGTCATCAGTTCAGATGACAGCTCGCCGTAAGCCCTCACCTGGCTGTATGAGTACGAGTAGAGTGCCTTAATCAGTGCAATATATTTTCTCGGAATTCCCTTTACAGCCAAGCATCTCCAGAGAACTTCGCGATCGACAGAGTCGAATGCTGCCTTTAGGTCAAGAAATATAATGACTGTTGGACGCCGGTAGGAATGCCTATGTTCTAGAATCTGTCGGAGGGTGAAGATATGATCAATACACCCTCTTCCTGGTCTAAAGCCTGCCTGGCTCTCTCGTGTTTGTGCTTCCCGAGCACCACTCAGTCTACGCATGATTATTGAGCCTAAGACTTTAGATACTATATTAGTCAAGCTAATCCCTCTGTGATTATCACAGGAAGACTTGTCTCCCTTCTTGTATATGGGGATAATCAGTGACTTACACCAACCCGATGGGACTTCTTCTGATTCCCAGACGCTGCCTAGTACCTCAGTTAATCCGGACAGTAAGCTGTCTCCACCGTACTTAAATACCTCTGGAGTCATTCCATCAGGTCCCGCTGCTTTGCCTAGTTTCAGATTGGTGACAGCTTTAGTAACCTCAGTTAGTGACGGAGGACCTGTGTCTATATCCCATTCAGGGAGGTGTTGGATGCTCGGAAGGTTGAGCGTGGCTGTGGGCAAATTAAACTGCTCCTCATAATGCTCTTTCCAACGATCCAGTCGTCTATCCGTGAGCTAATTATAGTGCCATTTTTTCCGAGATTGTCTCACTGATGATTTGTCTTTTCCCACCCGTTTCCCTGATGAGTACAAAGAGTTGCCTGGTGTTGCCTATCCCCAAAGTTTGAATAGTCCTCATAAGCGTGAGTAGTTTTTGATCGAAGTCTGTCTGTTTTTACCAGCGTTGAACAAACCATTCATTGAAATGCATAATCGATAAAGAATTCACAAGTGTTAGTTTGCACAGGTTTAATTGATCTCCATACTTGATCATAAATTGATTTCATTTGGAAAACTACTGGAAAGCTTGTGAATACCAAAGAGTTGTTTCGTCCTATTCGGCGACTCTTCAATTGTATACATCCATGATATCATTAGGGGTCAAAATCAGGACTTTCAGATTACAAGGATACCATTCAGCCACTGACAGCCGATCCGGTGGCTTGTGAATCCCTACTCTTGTCAGTTTGCAACATTGTGTTACTGCCAACCAGCGCTATCGACAGGCATACATTACATATCTCTTTGGACGGGAAAAGCTTTCTTTGCTAACCGTGAAGTTATGATTTATGCATATGCCCTGAAACGATAACCAGATTGTACAGTTTTTGATTGGTTTAATTTTGGCTTGAGTTTTTGAGGATTTCAGAGGGCATGCGACCAATCAGATTTGTTTATTTATTTGTTCACGGCTTAAATTCCTGAATTTTTGTAAATTATACACACCACGTATTCTGTCTCGTGAATGTCCTTGTTGGATTTGGTGTCTTTCTCAGTCTGGGGAGGATTTTTAAATGATCAGTTGGTTATAATGTCATGTTTGAGGGCGTATATGTAGTCAAGTTAATCATCGTCACTGTTCAGGAACACTCCGTTATAATATCAACCAAATATAGTGAACTCCTCTGGCTACGACTTCTAATTGAAAATTCACGACAGCTATCCTATATGCACTAATGACCTAGAATACGATATTCAGATTTGAGTTTTGTATAGATTTTTATTGATTTTATCCCTTGGTGTATCCATTGGTGCACACTAAATAGAATGAAACTAGGATGAAATATTTTCCCACCATCACCCAGAAGCTCCTGAGTTCGAATCCCGGTAGACGCTCACTGATAAAGAGTCCCAAACTAGGACGAAGCAACTGTCTAGTTCTGTTTGGTTTTCCAAACTTTTCTATAACTGATGTCAGCTCGTGTGATGAAACCTGTAGCCAATCGAATCCCTGCAAACCACCAACGCCTCAAAATCAATATTTCCATATATACACTACACTACCTGACTGACTGACCGATTATTTGAAATGCCCGTTGTTGTTGATATTGTGTTCTTATACTGCACTTGAATTACTTATATCGCTTAATTTGCCTTTTCACACGCAGGGCGTATGCTGTGCTGGACAAAATACCTGTTGTCCACGTGGTTCACGTTGTTTAGCAAATGGAAAGTGTGAAAAGATGCCGGCTGACGTTTTGTCTAGAACATTTGCACCTAGAATCATACCATCAATTTCTGTGAAAGAGTTGACAAAATCACCACATTTCCTGGCTTCTGATTATGAAAAAGGACGTTTCAATATTGAAATGGCTAGTGTTTCTAAACCTGCTGAAAGGAATGTATTTCTACTGTAAGTTGTGTGTTAACTAATTTTGCCTTTATTTTTGTTTTTATAATTGAAATATGTTATCGCCATATCTCATACAATTAGCATAGCTTATAGTGTGAGTCTCTTCAGGAAAATTCAGTCCTAACTGTATTGTTGTTATTGTTGTTCTCTCGAGTTCTGTGGGGTGGGGGTGGGGTGACATCGAACTTCAACGCATCTCCATTTCATTCTGTACTCTGCAGTCATTTTATAACTGGCTCCACGCGTGTCGGCCCATAAGCTCTCATCTGCTTGTGCTCACACGATCTCCCCCATGTCACCCTTGGACCCATACCTAACTCGTCATCTCCTAATATGGTTCCACTCGACCTATGACCTGACGCGCGATGTAACTCAATGGTCTCCTTAGCGCGTGTCCGATCCACCTCTGTTTACTTCGGGATATTTGTTGAGCAACAGGTTCGTTTCCAGAGTTCATTGTTGGATATCTTTTGCGATTGATCTGATCTGGTCTGATCTTCAGTATGGAGTGAAAATAGCTGTTAGTAACAGTATGGAATCTGTTGGGGTTAGGCGTCGAGTGTTAGTTAGGTGGGAGGGGAAATTAATCGACGAGGTTGTGAAGTCACATTGGTTGAAAGAGTTGGTTAGGACATGTGTTACGCATGTATCCCCCTAGCCATCGATCGCCTTCCTCAACAACGGACAATGTTAGCCGCCGACGTAGGATGAATCAGGTTTGAAAATAGGTAACATGTGGTTGTCGAAAGAAAACATGGCTTCATCAGTCAAGTAAATCCACACCAGTTAGTTAAAGTCAACCACATAGGACTGTTCAGGCTTCCTGACTGACTCGTTGGCGCTCTCATGATGGTAAAAAATCAATGACGGCCGGAAACAATTGGTGATATGGCTCATAATAGTTGTCAATGGCTGACACAGATGCACTCACCCCGTGTAACTTATCATATCCGACAAAACACTATTATTACTTCATATTACAATTCATTTCCCCCCCCACACACACACACACTTCTGTTTACTATCTCTCATTAGTTTGTGTGCCACATGGAGGGAGTGTGTCAGCTTGGACTGCTGCACATCTGTGCAAAATTGTATGTGGAAACGAGTCAGTCAGTCAGTCGTGAAAAGTATCGGAGATGCTTATCATGACGCGCACGCCAAGTCTTTGAACCATATTGAGACGCTAACTGATTTGGCATTTGTGTTTGAAGTCCAATTCTTCTTCTGTATGCTTAGTGCAGTAGATTTTCAGACCGATTTCAGAGTACTGAAGGTCTGTCATGCCTTTCGAATCCTGACTGGCTTTGACTTCTTCATCCGTGTTGTCGTGTTTAGTTGAAACGATGCTGCCTAGATAAGTGAAAGAAGTTACCTCTTTGAAATTTCCTCCCACTGATAGTAATTGATGTTTGTTGCTGTTGGTTAGGTTCTTTTTTGTCATCTCTGTATTCTGCGATCTCTATCTTCACTTGAAGTCCTGTCTTTGCTGGTTTTTCTCTTTTGCTAACGTGTTAGTTTTCGCCTGTTGATCTTCGAGTTTGTATGACATGAGACACAATTCGTTCATGAAGTTCAAATCGTCGAGAGTCTTCTTATCAGTCCAATGAATTCCTGCGTTCTCATTCCCTACACCACTGTCTGCCACATGATTTTAGTCCACGACGATGAGGAATATCACTGGTGATATTAGGCAATCTTGTATTAATTCTGCCTTCAATTTAGAGAATTTACTGAATTTTCGATTGTGAATCCACTTGACAACAATTGGCATTGTGTCATATAGCTGTTGAACGTAGTTGATAAAGATTTGAAAGATGCACTTGTATTTTTAATTGTATTAGTTCCAGGATTTCATCATGAGTTGAAATAGGCTGGAGAATCATTGGAAGTACTGGAGAGTCGGCTGTTTCGTTCTAGTTTCCGCACTCTTCAGCACTACGTACCCATCGGGGTTGGAACATTCCAGGCCATTCCAGTTACAAGGCTGTCGAGCTCGTAAACCATTCATTCAGCCACTGGAACCCTATCCAATGCCCAGCCTATGAATTCTAACTTCTGCCAATTTACGACATACCACGACCGCTAGCCAATATCTTCGTCGAGTATTTGTCCTCACACGCGACCTGCTCCACCCTATCAACTGTATTCATGTTTATTCAATTCTTCAGTCTGTTTTGGGGCTGTGATTCAAATACAGTATAAATTAAGGGAATAAATGATATTCCAGCTGATTCGATTAGTCTCAGATTAATTTTCATTTTGTTAGGAACTGGACATTACTCAACTATCCGGTTGAAAACAATGGAGTGCTGACCAACTGTTACAGTCTAATTCAAAAGTAGCCGTCGTTAGCACGCGCATATCCTCGACTAGATTTGTGGTCGTACGTGAAATCTTCTGATCATATTGCGGTCGGGCTGACTATTCAACCACCAAGTTGAAACCCAATGACTCATGGAATTTTGTTATCTAAATTGTGTTGATTCTCACGACAGTGCCACTGCTATCCAATTTTTCCTGGTATTGTCAGTGGCTACCTTGGCCAGTCTGATGTTAATTAATGTTAATATTATGCAATTTTCCTTTTTCTTTTTAATTCCTTTACGTTCCCAGTGGAACATGCGGTTTCAAGCTAGACCATTGAAGTTTCGGTACCAGTGGTGTTTATTATTCTTACGGGATGCAGTTGCTAGCCAGCCATATGCCCAACCTTCCCTCTTTACCAGTTTTATTACTGGCTTAGTGAAGTAAAAGAGTGCGTCCAATAGCCGGGGATCGAACTCCGAACCACATGCGCGACGTGGTTGGCGAGCATTCTACCGCTGTGCGACAGACGCACAATATCATACAATAACTACTTGCAACTCCATGAACAACTGGCAATGAGCCACACCTATGGTATATATATATATATATATATATATATATATATATGTAAGGGTTGTAGTAATACTTCTCAACTTACCAAATCTGGGGGTAGGTGGCATTAACGGGACTTGGACCCGTGACCTAGTAAATCACAACTCTACTGTTCGACGAACACTCCAGTGTGGTGATCATATAGTAGACAGTATGCTACCACCATTAGGAATATGCTTTAGAGTGTATAGAAAAAAGTCTCCTATACTGTTCAATTTTCAATTGATGTTGTTAAACTGTTGTTAATTGTGACTTGTTTTAACTTGAAATGATGATTAGACTGTTATATGCATATATATAGATTTATTGACATACGACATTCATATGAAATCACGTGATAAATAATAATTTGACAATTGAAGAAGAAAAACGACATTTATATTGCGTTAAACATTCTTATGGTTAGGTGTTTTGTTTTTCTCAAAATAGATACAACGATTAAATAGACTGTTGCCTATAGTATACTTTCTTTTTCTGTGTGTATGAGACATCGATATACACTCTAATGCATACTACTGATTGATTGATTGATATGAGTAGTTACAGATACTACTGACATCAGTAGAAAGTAGTGCTCAATAGCCGAATCAAAATGATTTCAAAGTTCGAATGACTGTGTTTCGCTCGCTTAGGGTGGTGGCGCTGATCGAACCAGTGGTGTAATAACCAATTTCAGCTTTCAGCTCAGAGAGACGAGTAGGTTCAAACAGAGAAACCATCCGAATTCTGGCTATAGCTATTTGTGAGATTTGGATTCAACGATAATGCCTTACTGAGTATTGCTCTTTTCTATTCTTCATGTGATTACCAATTGAGGAGAACACACAAGAGTTACACAATAAAGGAACCTATTTGATAGTGAAATCACCATTGTTGCTGAAGTGAATGGGGAAAATACCTTCTAAGGTGGGGTCAGGTGGCAACTGTGAGTCCACGGGTGTGTATTACACCTCCCGTTTATTATCTGTCAGTTGGATGTGTACCTCCATGTGAGTGATGAACGGCATATATTCCGTGTTTGATATAAACTCCAAAATGGAATCCTCTGGATTTCGAGAGCCACATTTCTACGCTGACCGGTTCGTGTCTATAGTTTCATGTTGCTTATTCTTTCCAGTTGATGTGGAAGTCCTAGTTGCCGGTCCTAAACACAAACAAGAAGGAACTTTGGGATTAACAACCCCACCTACCTGGTAAAATGCAACCTCATCGCTATTGAAATTATAAACGACAGAGAAGAACAACATTATTCTCTTTCTTAGTTCCTAGAGGAACATGGGGCTTCAGCCGCACGTTTCCATTGCGTTCTCTTCTTCGCCAACGTTTTCACCTTCCTCCACGTCTGCCAACATGCTTTCATCTCCTCTTCGTTTAACCTCCTCCATTCCACCCTCGGCCTGGCGACGAATTCGCTGCTTGCCATTCGAGTTCCACTGGAGCGTTGACCTGGCGTGTAATGTCACTCGATGGTTTTCTCAGAGTATGGTCAATCCACCTCCATTTCTCCCTGGGTAATTGGTTCCTTTTGTGTTGTTTCGTTCATTGGCATTATTGAAAGAAGACAGCTGTTGATGAAGGTTTGTAGTTTCCTGGAAGTGCCCTTCGTGATGCCGCGCCAAATCTCTTATCTTTATAGCAGGTAGCACTGACTTCACATTGGAGTTGAAAATCCGGATCTTTGTTTTTCATGCTGTGTATGGCGTTGATTTCCACACAAACTTGAGAGTAATGAAAGCTTGTCTTGCCTTTCCCGGTCCTCGCACTTCGATATCCTCATCAGTTTCGTTCGCCTGTAGTTGAAACGATGCTTCCCAGGTGGGTGGGTAAAGGAGGTTGCTTCTTTCAGATTTCTCCCATTTCTGCTGATTGTTGTGGTTGTTGGTGTTGGCCAGGAATCTTTATCACCTCTGTTTCTTCTTCTGCCAACTTGTTGCTTTTCACCTGCATATCTTCCAGTTTGTGAAAAATCAAACAAATATCATCGGCGAAGTCCAGATGCTCCAAGTTTTTTATGGGTCCATTTTATTCCTGTTTCCTCGTTGCCCACTGTCTGTCGCATTATCCAGTCTACCTCAATCATGAAAACCATTGGAGATTGTAGACAACCTTGTCTTAAGAGATTATGGGCGATCGTCGACCAGCTAGATAGGGAATAATAATAGTAGAAGTCTAATTAGCCTTTCTGAAAGCTAAAGATTCCATTCCGGTAACATGTTATTCTTTCATAATAAATCATCTGAGTGTAATTTTTCAGAATACACCTTTATTGAAAACGTAACACTTAACAAATAGTTAGTACCTTGACACGCGTGGCAGTTAGGTTTGCATATCGTAGTGCGGTAGCGTACTACACTGGTTAGATTGAATATTCCTGCAGGTCCTATCATACCAGAAGGGTTGTTTGAATAATGATTGGACTAAAAACAGTTACCATCATAGTGAAAGTCGTTGACATTGTGGGGGAGAGGGTTTATGGGCGAAGTCTTACTAATTACTGGATGTTACATCAGTAAGGTATGTTTCCGTTGGACAACCAGAAAACCAGCTCTGTTGTCTTTCTGCTCTGGAGGGGAGGGGGTTACAGAATGTTGATCCTGAAAATTTAAATATCCAGAAATATGATGTGGTCGTCCGTAGACGGCTGTTAAGATCTTAATACGCCCGTAATTCCAAAGACCATCACTTCAAGCAGGCTATATGTGACCAGTCTAAATTAGTTGTACACTGGCCTTCACAGTCACACAACACTAAAACTCTTTGTTTCAGTTATATTTCAAGCCAGAAATTAGAGTAACTGGCCATACGCTTCCATATGTGTCGGTGATCTACTGGTAGAATGCTTGCCAATCATGAGGTTCTCATGTGGTCCGAGGTTTGACTCGGTGCTGACGTACGTCTTTTAGGCTCTCTATGCAGGTAGGCGGATAGTAAGCCCGATAAAGAAGGGAAGGTTGGATGTGTGAGCTTGGCAACGCGCACTCCCTCGCTCTTCACCCCCATAAAAACGCAGTACCACATCTACTGGAACTTCAGCACTCGAAGCTTGAAGTCCCTGTGTTCCATTGGGAACTCAAAGCGAATAAAAATAATTCATACTCCCTTTCATAGTTTAATTATTATTATTGCTTTTGTTTTATTTAATAAACCATTTTAATTGGAATTTATTTTACATCATTTTATTTCTGTTATAGCTATGAGAGATATCGATCCCTGAAACAAGGATTGCATACCATCTGTCCAGATTATATGCATTACTGCGCTAAATCTGAACAATGTTGTCCTTCTAGGCGTTTCGGTTATACTTGTTCACCAAAAGAGGTATGCTGTTTGTGTGTACATACTGTTTTATATATATATATTTTAAAATCCTGACTGTGAATTACATTTTTAGACCATGTGAGGATTTCCATGTATAAACTGGGCAAATTATATATACTATGCTGCTCTGTTTTGTAGATGACATGAGATGTATGGGGGTGGCAGGGAGGTGGTTTCTTTACTCACTAATTCAGTCGTCCAACTTTCATGCAATCAATATTCAAGAGTTGGTTTATAAGGATTAGATTTGTTTTTCTTCGAGTTTGACTACGGATTGATATCAATTAGAGAACCATTGAAAACCAGCTACATGGAGTGCCGAGCAGCTGTTTCATCCTAGTTTATCGGGAATCATCGGCAGTATGCATGCATTGTTACAAACCAACTTTTGAAAATTAATCTGATGCTCACCAGTGACTTGCTACCTGATGGAGTTTCCTGGAGTTCTCGTGAGAAGTTGTGACCATTGAGGTCCATCCAGTCAAGTATGAGGATGGATTTCTCACCGATGACATTCGTTGGTGGTGGTCGCGCTAAGTCACGAATTAGTAGAAGTTAGAATTCACAGACTGGCCATTGAATCGGTTCCCAGTGGCCGAATGAATCGTATGTGAGCTAGCCTTTTAACCGGAAGGCCCTGGTTTAGGACTCTGGAGGTGGGCGTGTACTGCCAATGATTCCCAAACTAGAATGAAACAGCTGGCTGTCTAGTACTCCCTGGTTTTCATGCAATAAACGACAAGTGGACTTCACCTTTTGTTACCGTACCCCACCTTTGACAACCAGATAGGACTATTGAACTTTTGTCGATTTTCCATATTAGTTTGTTCATTAGATATCACACAGTGAAACAGTATGATATACTGGATGACGAAGTTTAGAACAAAATTTATTACTGTTCATAATCATTTCATCAATTATAATCACACGACTTCGAAACTTGAGTTTTACAGCTTTCTTTGTTCTCTCCTATTTGTCGTCATAGTAGTAGTGGAATTTTCCACATATCTGGGTGGATGGGTGTTGAATCATTCCTATTAAACTTGTTTGCAGTTGATTCGATAAATAAAGCTTCTGTTATCAATCTCTCCCTTCACACTATCACATAAGTTTTCAAAACTGTCATCTTATCCTATCATTCTGTGCTATATGGTTGTGTGTAATTACATGTGGTGAGTGCTATAGCTGAACTATCTTCCAGATTTCTTATCTTATTTGGGTCAACTAATCTAGATTTTGCTAGGTTTTTATGCTTGACTAGTCTGACTGCACCTGTTCTACCACTTTGATCTATGTGTTTGACCTGACATTCATTGCAGACAGGGTATTAGATAAACTAAATTGTTTTGTTTTAAAGGCTTCAGCCGAAAATGCTTGTTTCTGATAGAGTTTGTGGTTGGTTTGAATGCCAGCCGCTTTTATTCGTGCCTTGTTAAGAATTCTGCGTAAGGAGGTTTCCGAGGTTCCGAGGAAGTGTTACTGATGATTTAGATTCCTTATAGTTGGTGTTGTCATTATTCTGTAGATGTTTGACATGCATGTCTTCATTAATATTATCATTATCGTTATCACCATCACTACTATCATTATTTATTTTATTTTTACATTTCACTACATACTTTCTAACTAATTTATCCGAGTAATCATTAAGTTTCAAAGCTTCTCTTAAATGCCTCACTTCCTGTTTTAGATTTTCCTTGGCACTACTTAGTTTTTGTGCTCTATCGCTCGAACATTTCACCAATCTTATTTTCACTGACATAGGATGGGATGATCGGAAGTCCAAATATCTGTTTGAATGTGTGGGTTTCGTGTAAACACACACTTGTGTTTACCTTCCTTTTTACGTTGCATTGTAACATTGGAAGTTCGCCTTCCTAACTTTCCAATTTATAGGTGAATTGAATTGCTTCCACCTTTGAATTAATGTGTTCGAAAATTCTATCTGTATTTTGTGTTCTAAGTACAGTGAATGTGTCGTCTACATACCACCTCCATCATACTTTTAGCATGTGGGGCTGAACGTTTCAATTGCTAACTTTTCCCACCTATCCATGAATGTATATATCTGCCACAACCGAGGATATTGGTGACCCCATGACAACTCCCTCAATTTGTTTGTTTATTTTCCCTTGGAGGAATTTACATACTGTCGAAGTCATGCATAGCCACCTACACTCCTATCATTATATCCTCAAGTGGCACTTTCGTCCTAACTTCTACTTTTTGGTCAGAAATGGGTTCGTTTCTGACTGCCTCTCTATAGCTACATATATTTATTGGTATACGTGTATATAAACTGACGACAATGTCAAAAGTGTCTGTTGCACTTTGTTATTACGAATTACTGTATATTGATGCAAAATTGTTTTATTTTCTTTAACGTCTTATTGTGCATATGCTTCAATTTGATCTGATTTTAGGCTAAATGTTGTGGATCCAGTGTGGATACCTTCTGTTCAAAGTCAAAACAATGTTCTGTAGATGGAAAGCTCTGCCTTTAAATATTATTTCATAATATTTCATTGATGTTTAGTGACAATACAGTCCATTTTTATTTATTTATTTATTTATATATTACTAACATAACACAACTTTGATTCATTGAACTTCTCTCACCAATCAATCGAAAATCAATTGAGATATGAACATGTGTTAAAACATGTTGAACACATTTTTTGTTGTTTTAATTTGCGTTTTAATAATGATTGATTTTTACGTTTTTACTGTTTTTTCTTCTCATTCCATTCATGTTCATTTCAGTTGTACTTGTGTGTGTGTGTGTCTATTTTCATTACAGTCCCATTATATTTTGCTATGTGCTTTGAATTCTATCGAAATTTTTGAAATACCTCGATTAGTGGTGATGATAAATTTGTGGTTGGTTTATGTAGATACAGGGGTTTTGAGACAAAGAACTGAGCAGATTTTCCATTTTTGTTATTGTTATTTGATTAATAATCCTTTGGGTTCCGAGTGGAACACAGATGTACTGATGGACTTAACCCTAACTCACTTTAGAGACACAGCGACTGACTTCCTACCACGGAATAATCTTGTTGACTTAGAATATGCAGATGATATAGTCCTGTCTCTTAGATGAAGACGCTGACAAAATAGAGCAGAGTCTTCTGAACACCTTGAGCTACAGTCTACAAATGTTCGGCATGCGATTCGCTCCCACCAAATGCAAGATGATGTTACAGGACTGGACTACACTGACTCCTAGCTTAGAAACAGGGAGTGAAGTGGTAGAGCACGTTGACCGCTTCACTTATTTGGGAAGTACCATCAGCCAACGCCAACGGGTTGATCTCTGACAAAATCTCAATACGGATACAGAGGGCTAAATTCGCATATGCCAGTTTACACCGTCTCTGGCGTAGATGTGATATCCGGCTGGCTATCGACCAAAGGGCGGGTGTACTGCTCATCAGTCCGCTCCGTCCTCCTTTATGGCTGTGAGCGAGACATGGCCATTGACGGTGAAATACATGGAAAGATTAGCTGTCTTTTATCATAGGTGACTGCGTTCTATCTCCCGTGTAAGGTGTTTTAATAAGGTGAGTAATATTGAGGTTAGGCGTCGAGTTCTAGGTAAGGAGGGGAAATCAGTCGAAAAGGCTCTGAGATTACATCGACTTAAATGGCTAGGACATGTGTTACGTATACATCCCTAGCCATCGCCTTCCTCGACCGACAGACAATGTTAGCTGACATAGGGTCAGGCTGGAAAAGAGCCGGCGGTGGTCAAACCAAAACATGGCACCAGTCAATGAAATCCACAACAGTTAGCTTAAGCCAGCCACATAGCAAGGTGTAGACTTCCTGGTTGGGTTCTTCGAAATGGTAAAAACCAGTGGTTGGGAACTATTGGTGATATGGCTTTAACTCGTCGTTCTCAATGGCGGAGATGCATACACTCCTTGTGACTTATGATTTCAAATGAAACTATATGGTTCTCCGTTATTACTATTCCTTTTGTTTCATATCCCTGTCTACTGTCTCTATTTTGCATTTCTTTTTACTTTCTTCTCTTGCTTTGTGTGCTACATGGACGGAGTGTGGCGACTCGAAGTGCTGCACATCGGTGCAAAGTTCTATGTCGAAAACAGACAGAGTGGAACATAGGTATTCAACAATACATCTCTACTTTGTTCTATTCGGTACTGTCGTCTTTATCTGGCACTGGGTCCACGACTTCACTGAAGTATCGTGATTCATGATCAGCCTATTGGATGGTACTGGTTAGGTGTATAAGTCACGATCATCGATTGCCACTGTCCCCCAACCCAGCTGTCTAAGATTTAGGCCAAAAGTGCGCCGTTCTAGAAATTCTAAATTGATGACCGTGTTTCAGATTTATTGGAGTAGACACATGATACTGGTGACCAATGGGTAACACCACGAATCTTCCGAGTGTAGGCAGTTTAAACAGCAACGCATCTACTATTTCTGTAGTGAAAGTGTCATCGTGATAACTAATGCAGTGACATTTTCGTTCATTTTAAGTGCTGAGTTCTTAAGTAATCGTTTTCTTACCGGGTTAGGTATATTCTGCTTTCTTTAGTGTAAATCCATCTGTACAGAAGTGGTTCAAGTTAGATAGCTTTAAATTTATCTAAATGTTGTTTAAACTTTGTTCTTTTTAAAACTATTTTTATATTTTTATTCGTTTACGTTCCCGGTGGAACTTAAATAGGGCTTCAGGTTAGTGCTTTGAAGTTTCGGTAGCAGTGGTGTTTATTATTTTTACGAGAAGGGGTTGCTTTAGCCAGCCTCATGCCCAACCTTCCGTCTTTACCAGTCTTATTACTAGTCTTTCGATGTTTAGGAGTGCAACCAGTGGCCAGGGATTGAACCTCGAGCCATGTGTGGCGTGGTTGGCAAGCATTCTACCGTTGTGCCACCCGGACGCGCAAAATCTATCTTCGAAGTCCCCTAAATATCGCGAAAGTAGATGTTACGCCGCATTTCGTAGAAAAATTTGATCACCTAGTCTAAGTGAGTAATAAGAAATTTATATATAATAAAAGAATCACAGCGTGTTTAGAAAATCAAAACAAGATTGGCCTTAACAGTGCATATAATCTCGAAATATTAGGAAGATACTTTCATCCACACAAAGAATGGTGTTAACATTTGAAGTCTTGACGATTTTAACTGAATGGAATGCAGTAGATAGGGTGGAAGTTATTAACTTAACATACATAGGGTAAGTGATGAAACAAAACAGTGGTGGTTACATAATCTTTAGCTTTGAAGACTAAGCACAGCTGTCACTTATGTATGAACATCTTTTATGTAACAAATATATATATATATTGTATATATTACTTAAATGCCATTAGTAATGCAAATATATGTCAACGTTTGCAAATATTTGCCTACAACGCAAATTTCATATGATATGATTTTACACATAATTTGACTCTGTAGCCGTAAATAATTCCCCCAAAAAGGACTGACCTACAGCTTTCTACATTCGGCATTAGATGTTGACCTTCACTCCACTATAGATAAGATTTTATTTTATAATAGAGGTTTTTGTATTTCCCAATGAATGAAAAACAATCTCGTTTTGTTTTTCATTCATTGGGAAATACAAAAACCTTTATTATAATGAATATCATATACCCAATGCCCAAAATTTTTCAGTTCTTGGAAAATACCCATATGGACATTAGAAAGAAGAGAACACGAAGTTCAGCAAAGATATCTTTTCGGCGATTTCATTCTCAAAAGCTGTACAATCGCATTTATATAGATTATTTTAACATGGATAGAATTATTATTTGTTTAATTTCACATAGTAACGAAGGTGATAATAATTTTCAACTTGATATGATAGTTTGAAGGTACGAATATAGATTACAAGAGGCTTAGAGACAAGATTTCATAGGATTAGAAAATAGTTACAACGTATGCAAAAAATTAATATTTGATAACTGGAGAAATAATTTTAAAGGCGAATCGAAGGTGATAATTATTTTCGACTTGATATGAATTACAAGAGGTTTAGAAACGCAGGGATAGGACGAACTACAGGTGTGAACAAAATGAGCATGAAAACAAATTGAAATCAAATTTTTCAACTTGACATGTTAGTTAGGAGGTATGAATATAGATTACAAGAGGCATAGAAACAAAGAATTACACAGGATTAGAATATAATTGTAGAATGGTTATTCTAAACGGATTACAAGTGTGATCAGGAGGAGTATGGAAACAAAATTAAAATAACTAGTTTTTTTAACTGAAAAAATAATTTGAGCCTGAAATGAAAGTTAGGACGTGTGAATATAGATTACAAAAGCCTTAGAAACACAAAAATTGCACAATATTAAGATATAATTGTAAAATAGTTATTTCAAACGATTTATAAATGTGAACAGGGAAAGCATGGAAACAAACTTAAAATAACTGTTTTTATAGCTGAAAAAAAATTAGGTGGATTAAACGAAGATTGAGGGACTAAGAATCAGACACACAGCGAACGAAAAATGCTCTAAAGGAAAAAACAAGAACGAAAACCCAAATTTTCAAACCGTTAAAAGTGAACTTGGTTTGGATATATATAAGATTTTATTTTGATAAATCACACAGGGTTATACAGTAATATTAACTGATGACCACCTTTCGAGCACAAATTATTGCCACTCATAATCACATCAAGGCACTACTCACACAACTTTTTACTTCATTTAAATACATGATTAAAACTTGATTAGACATTTGAGTAAAAATCAAGATAATGTACATTCAGAAATGATAATATGAGTAATAATTTGTGATCGAAACGTCAACAGTTACTATTACTGTATGACACCACTGTGAGATTTTATCAAAATGAAACCTTATATATGATCGAGCTGACCTTTACTGTTTAAGTTAGCTGGTTAAACTGAAGGTAAAAAGTCAAGTAGTCCCACCATCTGATATGTTGTTATATTACTCTTGGTTGTTCGTGCACGCGCTCTAGCAGTCATCACCATTCAACGTTTCTCCCCTTTAAGTACATTTCCTATTTTGGAAGATCGATTCGTTGTGTTTGATCTGGCTCTTGTCTAAGATCATTTTAGCTGTAAAGAAACTGTTGCATACACTGTGAAACCATCTGAAGAATCGTATTTCAAATTTTGTATTATTTCAACCAGTCTGAATGCCTATAAAGATACTTGTAATATTACACTCCATAATGTTTTTCCTGACACCCACAGTGTTTAACTGCAATATTTTCGAGATTTTATTTCTTTCTTCGTGACTGTAGCTCACCGGTAGGATATTCATGGACCACGCAAGTGATCTACAGTTCGATCCTCAGCCAACGCACTCCTAAACCTCGCTTAGCTTGTAGTAATCGCGTCAGGAAAGAAGGTAGGCAGTGATGCTGGCAACTCAACCCTGTAAAAATCACCACCGCTACTGCTGATTCGCCATTCCTTAATCTTGAAACCCTTTTCCTCCACTAGGAACGCGAATTAATAAGAAAAGAGTACTTAAG